TCCTCTGCTAGTAGAATATTCTGTGAAAATTTCAAGCTGTAAAGTTGCCTTGAATTTCTTTGAAAAAATAAAATAAGAGCGGGAAATTTGAAACACAGGAATGGAGAAACAGGGTTTCGCACTTTGGTCATCGATATATATTTTCTTTGAAACGATTCTGTTATTACTTAGGATTGCATTCAGCAGAAAGCTAATCAAAGTGATTGTAGAGTTTTCAAAATCGTGCGGCGTTTTTTTTGCTTTAAAAATACTAAATATATGTACCTACGGTAATAAAATTTAGACAATCGTTTTTCTTTAAAATTGAAAAAGAAAAAATTCGAGTTTCAGCGAATATTTTATGAAAACTCCTCCTAGCAATCCCAAACCGGTCGGTCGAATTGACCCGACTACCTCTTCCGAGGAAGTTATGGTGCCGGTACGCATATGAGCTTTAAATATGGGTCTAAAAATGCATCCTAAAAAAAGAATCAGACATCAAATTGAAAAAAGAAAGAGAGACATCGATTGTCATCACAGCCAAAGATAGGAAAGAAGTATTCGAGCCTCATTTTTTACTTTTCTGCCGAATCCAAGCGACACCTTATTCGCAGCATAGAGCGTAGTATTAAGAGTTCATGCCTGGCACCATCGCGCCTTCAATTTTGCAGACGCAACACGGACATCCATCAAGTACGAATAGTTGTATCTTTGCGCCGTCTTCAACGCGCGTCCTTTCCCTTGCCCTATTTCCATGTTGTGCTGGTTGGATTCGGCAGAAAATTTAAAAAACGAAAATCGAATACGTATCTCCTATTTTCGGATGTAGTAATACTACGATAGGGGTTGAGCACCTTCCGAGAAATGCGATGACCTGTTTCTTTGATTTTACTTATTGGAAAAAAATTTGGAAATCTTCCAAGAATATAGAAACATGAATTTCACATTCCGTGGAATCGCGCTATTTAAAATTAACGCTCTCCGCCAAAGATTCAATTTAATAGTTTTGTGGACAAAATTCTGTACGATTCTGCGAAACGGGCGGGGGACAAAATCATCATTTCGTGAAATATATAATGATTTTTTTCTTCTTCCCCCTTTTTACCGGCTTTTCAAGATTTTTATGGCTTCCCAAGTTTTCACGCGAGCTGGACCCCTGTTTGTGAGAATTTTATACATGGATATTCATCAAAAATAGGAAAATCGATAATTTCGACCTGAATAGCGTTTTCTCGCTCTCCCGGAAAACTTGGCCTTTCACTTTAAGTAGTTGAGTAAACTTAAGTACCCTGCTCCAGGGCCGGATTGAAGGGTGGCCACATGGGCCGTGGCCCATTGCGGCAAAATTAGGGGGCGGCAAATTTTGTAATTTTTTTAAATGCAGGTACAAAAAAATCGGATTCAGAAAAAAATTACGGACAAGAAAAGGTGACAAAATCTCTCATTTCCTGAGAGTTCATTAATTTCTAATTTTGTCATATTTCGATGATACAAACGACTGCGCACCTTTAATGAGTTGAGTTAAGAGAGAAACCAAACACGTAATTTGGCCTGGAGCGGCGCGGCGCAAAGAGAACTGATGACGAGGGCTTGAGATGAAAAGGAGAAGCCCTCGACGCGGCGGTCGGCATGTAACACATATTAGCGCCTACGAGACTGCATGAATACTTCACGCATTGCGTCAAACATAGTACGGTCAACAGCGGTCGGCGCGGCGGCGTGAAACGCACAGTGCCTACAAGACTACATAAGTACTTCACGCATTGCGCCAAACACAGTGTGGTCAGGCGGTGGCAAGGCGGCGGAAGTTAAAATTATTAAACAACATTTACAGTTGTTCTTTCTTAATTTTTCAGTTTATTTCTTACAAATGAAAGGCCTTGTCCCCACAGATAGGTTTACGGAACTGAACTTTTGCGCGAAGTTCTGTGAATTTTTGCTAGTAGTGTTGACAGGGCTTACGCAAAAAATGTGTCCAACACGAGTGAACGCGTCTTATGCACCCTTCTCCCTCCGGCACGTTCACTTGATGGTTTTTATTGATGTTTCAAAATGAATGAGAAGAGGGCGGCAAAATACAGGCGGCTCATGGGCGGCAAGTAGGTAAATCCGGCCATGCTGCTCCCATGTCCTGTAAAATTTTACTCAAGGAATTGCAGGAACACGGCATACCTTGATTCCTTTGATAAAATAGATTTTTAACTCTCGAGAAATCTAATCAGAAGAAAATTAAAATGAAGCACAAAGTCGCAAATTCATGCGGATTTTTATCAGATCCGCCTACTGCCTGAAATAAGATAACAATACTGTCGTGCTGAGGACAAACGCCGTATGAACATTCGAGAGTTGCCAAATTTCCCTGGATAAAATGGTTAATTTTAAGAGAGTCATGGTTATTTTTCCTTGATATTTTCAAAAACTTTAGGTGAATTTGCGAGCAAAATTATCTGAAAAATTGGAGGAAAAATATTCATAAGGTTGCCAGGAAATTCGTGCTCATGAAAGGAATTTTGGCAGCGCCTGATGGTTCATAATGCGTTTTTCCTTAGCGCGGCAGAGGACATGTTTGGCATTTTCGCTCTGCACTACTGTCAAGCAACCCTTCTCACGTCGTTTGTGATCACGTGATGTCGTTCCACATATTTTTTCAGTTTCAATATAGCTGGTTATGCAATTTCGCACTGTGTGGCACGAACCGATGATGCGTCAAGAAATGTACTACCGGGACGCGGTGTTGCCGATAAGCTAGCAAAAATGCAGTCGCTAATACAGCATCGCACAGTGGATCAGGTCAATTAGAGAGGTCGGACAAGAAATTTTTATCTAAAACTGCAAAATTTGATGTTTAATTTGTCACATTTTAAATTTCAAAGGATGCTACCAGAAGAAAATTTCACGAGGGAACCAATGAGGCCAGTTTTAAAATCTCAAAGTTTTGTATGAATGGAGTTATAAGCTTTTAAAGTTTCCAAATTTTGTCCGATCCCTCCTATTGATTCGACCCACTGTCCGTCGTCGTAGAGGTCGTGTAATGAATCGATGATGTGTTCGTTCTTACGGGATTTTTCTCAAAAATAAGATCTGGCGACACTGAACGCTTCGATGCTGCCAAAGTTCCTTTAATGAGACATTTATTAAAGAAGCTTTGAATAATATTTATTGAGATTTTAAGGAATGCCAAATCAAACCGCGAGCAAAATTCCCTGCAAATTTTGAAGGAAAAATTTGACATTTTTTCTTTAAAATCTATGATGTTCAATAGAATAATTGGCAACTTCCTTTGCACGTTTTTCTATTACACGTTGCACAGAACAACCACGGGGCAAATTCAGTATTTTGAAAGGCGTTTCAGCCGACTTTTTGACCCCCTCTCCCTTGTGGAGCTGCAAGACAGCCCTTCACCCCCCCACCCTCTTTTATACTACGAAAGACTAGCCTGACTCCCCCTTCTTCCAATTTTTAATTAACTGACAGAGAAAGGGGGCTAAAAAATACCTGAAAAATATGTTTTTCTTTGAAGAGAGTGGCCCACATTTTCTCTTACTCCCAGGTGAGACACCCGAGGTAATTTCAGACCCCCACCCCACAAACGATAGATCTTCATTTGGTTGTGTAGTTAATTTAATTGTTAATATTGATAGTATTTCCTTAGATAAACCCTGCGTCTGAGGACTTGAGGGCAGGGGAAAAATTCTATAGAAAGATACTAAACTTACAGTTGAAACATGTTTTCTTTGCTTTCTCATTTTTCTACTGTACTTAGTTTGATCTTAATTGACCCTAAGACGAATCATCTCCAACCCGTGGGAGTAGATACTTGCCATTTGGACAGATTCAGTCAGAATCGACCCAATTACAAAGGACGTTGCCTATTTTCTTTAAGTGTTTTATTTTGTTGAGAATAAAAACAAATGACTTGATGATTTGAAATTTTGTGAGTGTATTATACACAAAGGAAGCGAAAATTTATGGAAAACTTCAGGGCATCAGGTTATTTAGTTTTTCTGTTAAAAGAATAAAACAGGAGAGAGAATTAGGCAACGTAAAATAAGGACAAGGCTCGATTCCGCTGGGCGTTTTAAGGCAAATTTCGGCGTGCTAATGAATCTACCAGCGGTCTGCCCTACACAAATAGCACGCAACACCGCTCTTGGAGCAGTGTTGCGTCAATTTGCAGCCGAAATTTGGTTACCGAACGCTCAGCAGAGTCGCGCCTTTCGACTGCTTCCGAATAATGCAGTCAAATTATGTAGTCCATAATAACATACCCAAAACTTTTTGATAGTACAGAAATAAATAATTTTCATAGAGAGCTTTTTTCATCCATGGAACGCCATGGATCCTTATCTTTACATTTCAAGTTAGTTCGATGAGGGTAAGGAACACCTGTAACCACAACCCACCTTGTGAGAAGGATGGACCTCAGCTGGTTGACCGGGAGAAAAAAGTGAGGCATTACATCACATTCCATTCTGATCCTCTGAGGTTCGGAAAAAACCCCTTAAGTTAAGTATGCTAATTCTAATGCTTCATCTACCCCCTGCCTGCCAAGCATGTTATGCTACTTCCCTACTTCGTTCCCCAAAACATGAAAGCCTGAGAGAATCTGCCAAAATCTGATCAGATACTCATCTCATTCTGCGCCACAGACAGTCCCAGTCAATATTCCTGCTTTTTGGCATTGCAAAAAATTTTACACCAACAAAAGCATCTTGAAGTGAATGATCGACATCCTCAGTACACATGCAGAAGATCAATTATTGCAAATATGCTCTGAATGCAACAATAATAAACCCTTCGCAAGAAGGATAAAAATGAAAAAAATGTGTTGAAAATTCAAAAGCTAGGCAATTGAATACAGCGATGAAGTATAGGTCGAACAGTGTAAACCTCCTCAATGAATCCGCAAAAACACACTGAGTGTCATTTGACAATCAAATGATGAAAGAAATAGGAGAAAAAATGATGAAAATGCAAAATAACTGAGTGAGCTGGGATAGCGAAAAACAAAAAATACTCACTTTTCAGACATGATCGTATTTTTTGGGCTCCAATTAATTCGCACAGAACTAGTATTCAGTAAGAGACACAAGAAACGCCTTATCACTTCGCGATGGACACAATTTAACCTACTGACACTTCAAGTTCAAAAATTGGCTCGATACTGATAAGCCGACACTCACAAGTCTGAAGGGAGAATGAAAGAAAACTGCTCAACTGAGGACGGGGCTTGAAGGTTAAAAGAACGTCACGGTGTGTCAGAAGACTCGATACCTTCCGGGCAATAAGATTATTATTTTCGAATAATAACGAGACGCAAGGTTTCCTCTTTACTTTCGTTTTCAAGTTTCAACCAATCCGACGATGGGAGGCAGTACACATTTTAATAAATTGCTCCAAGGTGAACTCTGGCACTCGAAGGCGAAAAGAGAGAGGGAAGCCGAAAACACTGAAAACACGGTTTCTCAACCTAACCTCAAAAGTTAAAGCACAGCCCTGTGTATGGCCGGTTGCCTGCTGCCGGGTATGCAGGCACTTTTTTCTCGGTGACTAATCTGCCGTGCTGCGGAAAAACGCCGTATGAACCTTCAGGCGTTGCCAAATTTCCTTTGGTAAATCATGAATTTTTAAGATAATTTGTTTTCTAATTGTTCAGAAAATTTTATTCGCAATTTTATCTGCAATTCTTGAAAATTTCTCGAAAAAATGTTCATTACTTTCCTCAAAAATAAATATTTTATCGAAGAAAATTTTGCAACTCTCGAATGTCCAAACGGCGTTTTTCCTCAGCACAGCAGTAATTTTCACTGATTTTTCAGCTCGGTTGCTCGGTAGTTCTCAGTTTCTTCAGTGCTTGAGTTATGAAACAAATAGCTCCAGAATAATCGCACTTGCTAAAATAATAATTTTCAAGGAAATATTTTTTAATGAATTAACATTATCTCTTGAAATCCCGCTGTTCACAGGCGACACTGGGAACTTGTTGGGGGAGGGGGTAGCGGAAGGGCGTCTTATCAAGTAGGAGAAGAGATGTGCAAGATATTAAAAGACACTATACCAAGAGGGATCCCTGGGACTTACTCAGTTCCAAAAGAAGTTCGGGGGATCCTAAACTCCAAAGTGGGGTCTGAGGGGCCTCAGCTCTGCCTTAGGTACTGCTAAAATTTTGGGAAACTGAGTCGTCTCTGGAGCATGAGGGACTTGGGGACGGAGAGCTGCCCCCTCCCTCCCTAACAATGTACTTGGTACCTCCCAGGAAATGTAAGCGATTTTGCGATGAAAGTGAGTGACATGTCATTTGCCTGACATTGTAATTTTATACATTTTTCAGTGAGCATATGAACATAAGTTCTCATAATGATGTATGCATATAGTTCAAAGAAAGAAAAAAATCCTTGATTCATGTATGTTCTCAACTTCGATTATGGGTTCAATTCTAATAAAAGGAAGAAGCTTGTGGGAATCGGATTATATGGTGCTCCAGGAGTCGATTTTGTTGTCACAATTTCTTTTGCCACAAATGAGACTATAAGAGCAGCTGGGACAATAGACACTCACTCTCTGGAATTTATTCTTGCACTTATAAAATGTTTAGGATTTTCTTCCCCGAACCATACGAGTTGGTTCCAAATACAGACTATGTCTCTTTGCACGAATTCAGGTAAAAATAAAATCTGCTTTAAAATGGGCTGTAGGTCAACTAAAAGGGTCATCTAAAAAGTAAATATCTCTTTGCTAAGATTTTAAAAATGTTACATAAAACTAAAATCTGTTAAAATCATCTAACTGGTTGCACTCCCAGTTTTCTAAAAACGTTTTAAGTTTTTTTTTTTTTTTTTTTTTTTTTTTTTTTTTTTAAATGCTTGATCTTTTTTCTCTTCTTGCATCCATCTGAAGGATCACCACCTAACACATTTTTTCTTCCTTTTTTAGGAGCAGTATTGCACACATGGACTGGCAGATGTAGCATGTATAACGAATGTCAAAATGTTTGAAAATAAAGGACGGAAAGTCACGATTACTTTGAAAAGTTCTAATAATTTCGTTTGTGACAGAATTATCCAAGGAAATAAAACAATGTATACTCTAGTCAAATTTCAGAACTTTTATTGAGCTATAAAACATTCTCTTCACAATTTCCTCGAGATACATTCCTGTACCTACAGTATTTTTTTCTTATGACAAGTCACAGCTAAGTGTCGATTTCATACTGTTGTTCCGATATTAAGGAATTAAACAAACTTAATTAAGATTGTAGCTTTATGTTGATCAATTTTGCACAAATGGATACTCCTATCTCAGAACTATTCAAATGTATTCTTTTTTTACAGCTAAAAATTTTTTATGCATATCATTTGCAATAAGAATTATTGCAAACTTATGGCTCAGTGTTATCATCAAATACACAAAAAATTCTTCTTTACCGATATGATTACCCTAATTTAGTTAAATTCTCAGACATATCTTAAATTCAATGAAAATTGTATGCAGCAGACAGTTTTGAGCGTTTGCTCTGAGCCAATAATTGTGGCTTTGTATTTCATCAACTTTGAAAAATCCTCACTCCATAACCCAAGGTTGTCGACTTTGTCCATAACCATTCTTTTTTTGAGTTTACCTTTAAGGTCTAATTTTAGCAAGGAGGAGCTACCTAGTTAACATAAAATTGAGGAAAGTTCATATCCTCGATGAGATCAATATTGTCTTTAATAGTGTAATTTTTTGGAGCTGTGATTTTATTCTGTTCTTGTAGGTACTCAATGATTTTACATTACAGAGTTTTTTATTTGTGAATTATCTTCATTGAAACTATTTGATATGATTTTGTTAAAACTCTTTGGCTCCCCACTTAAAGAGTTGAGTTTCTGTGCTGTGAGGGTTGCAATGTGATATTTCCTCCGAGCATATGATACAAACCCTACTCTTAATGGGTACATAGAGGTGTGGATACACTGTTACAGAAATAATTAGCAGACAGAACATCACGTGTGAAATGTTCAGCTTTTCAAAATTTGGGTGTATTAGCAGATCTAGATGCATGATGGGTAAACTTTTTCCCGAGGTTGAGTTGCTCTCTCTTCCTTGATTTTGAAGGAAACATAGATGCATTCCTCTCACCAATGACCCTTCATGATTTCGGCCAGCTTAAGATACCTCTGAAATCAAAAAGTTGAACAGAGAATGAGCAAAAGTATTCATAACTCATAAAGCTAAGAATGATACTGGCTAGATTCTTCTAACTTCGAGGTTTTATTTTTAAAAATGGGAAATTCATTTATGAGTTCATCCTTAGATCTCTTAACTTGAACAATTACATTTGCTGATGACAAAAACAGCAAAAAGTAATAAAGGTATATTACATTGATTGATACAATGGAGAATTTGCAGGTGTCTGAAAATTGATGAATTTCGTATTTAAATGGAAACTACTGAGTGAACTGAACACGAGGACCCTTGGTTCATGAATTGAACAATTATTGAAGAAGTTATGACAAAATGATCTAATCTGCTAAAATGCATGTGTTTAAATTGGTAATGATGCCAGATGACGTCACTAGGCAGTGCATTTTCTCAATTTTGAATTTATTTTTATACTGAATCCCATATCGGAAAAAAATCATAAAAAATACCGTGAAATCAGCTCTTTAAGCACTTTCAGATGAAGCAATAAAAAATTTGCATGCAAACTCTCCATTGTAAAATGGATTCACCTAGTCTGTTGAGTAAAATGGGAAAATCACGATTCCAATGAAATAAGAATAAATGGAAAGAACCTAGTACAAAGCAATGGAAATGTGGACCACACATGCATACTACGGTAACAAAAGCCAAAGGGGAAACATACCCTCAATTAATTGGAAAAATCAAGTGGCTAAATTTTCCAGCAATGAAACCATGTTTTTTTTCTCTTGTAAAAGTAAATAGAATTTACTCAGCAATTCTGTCTCCATGGTTTTCTTTTTATCAATTTCCTGTTGTGCGCATGATATCAGCTTCCGCGTCTCTGAGAAAGGAAACAATGCCAATAAAAATTTAAAAATTGTGAGCTGTCAAGAAAGTTAGACAGAACAAAGTTAAGATACATAATTGAATACACTACTTTGCAAAGCTTTTGCATAAACAAAATTAGATTTCAAATTCTAAAAAAGTTGAATTAACTGCGGAGTCAGTAACTTTCTAATCCTTCCTTGATGGTGGGATCTCTGAGATCAGAGTCTAAATTTGGACAAATTTGATGAGAGTACAAACCGTCACCTGCCACAAAAAGGACTTGTAATTTACCCCTGTTAGCAATGAATTAACAGAGAAAATTGTAGACAAGTAAGTTGAAGCTGAGTTTTCTTTGAGTTGTTAAATTCTACTTAAAACTTATCCCTCCTAGCTATCACTGATAAATTTAGACTGTAAAAAAACCCTTAAAATGTACGAGTTAGGAGACCGATTCAATTCATCAACCAAAAAGATAAAAGATAGCGCTGTCAACATATAAACATTATGATGTGCATATCGCAATGAGTGCATGACGTGCAATAAGTTCTATTGATGTAAAAATGTATCAGCTGGTATGCGTTGGTTAGCGACAGGTACACTTTTGTGTGCTTTGTGTTTATCAATGAGAGACTGGATTTTTCAAACAGATTTTTCTCCATTTGTCCACATATAACTTCTAAACACTTTAAGTTAAAAGATTTTAAAATGGTGCGTTTGAACAAGAGAGCTTTGCTGAGTGTTCTCAGTTCAAACCCGAATTGATATGCCAAAAAGAAGGAAAATTGCAGGGGTTTGCTCATGTGAGCATCTTAAAAGAAAGGCAAATTATTTTATACTTATAGGGACGAATGATGTAAAATTTACTGACGGGACACTTTGAAAAAAAAAAAAAATTAAAATCAAGCTCAAAGCTTTCAAAAATCAGTCATACAAGTGAAACACAAAACTGCTAAATATGTAACATAAAAACTATAATTTAAGCAAAATTTTTGTTAAACTTTACTGCAGTGAAGTGCTAAACACTTGTAAAAGATCAAGGTGGCATTTTTCGTAAAAGAGAAAGAAAAAAAAATGGATATTTCAACAATTTTGTTTAAGAGTTTTCTCTATGAATTGTACACATTTTCAACTTTCTTTTTATTTTATTTTATTTTTGACAGCATGAAAATCTTAGAGGTGTCGTCAGATAAGTTGACCGTTGTTTACTTTTGGTTTGCAAGCGTTTTCGCATCATTACTTTTCACATGAAAACATCTGACTCTCACAGAAGCAAAAACACAAGCTTCGATAAGTTTTTTAATACTTTCAAACCTTGTAACACTTTAATTATTAGCCACACATAAATCACAATCACATAAAAGTCGTGAATCATAACTGATAAATAGTTTTTTTATGATAAGATCATTAGACAGATGTTTTCAAGGTGGATAGTAGCAAGCACTGCTTCGTGCAAAGGCCTAAATTTTTCGTCTGCGCTTGCAAACCGAAAGTAAACAATGGTCATCTTATCTGATGACACCCCTGGATCATATCATTTCAAGCATTTTGTAACAACCGGATGCTATACTCAATACAAATTGCAATTGGTGGGGCAAATTTCTATCAACTCTCTTTGGATTTAGGAATGTTTCAAGAACTGAAGAATTTTTCAGAGAGCACAGTTGAATATTGGCTCCAAACATCAAAACTGGTCATCAAAACAGCTAGGATAAAAAAATTGATTTTTTTTTCCATTAAATTTTTATTACTTAAATTATACTCTGTATATTACGTGCCTCTAATAATGAGGGTTCATTTAAAACTACTTAAACTTTAAAATGGTAAGAAAAATCTTACAAATTGAATCACCTGCTTCAAGTGTCTTACTCTCCTGTTCCAGGATAGTCATTTCTTCTGTTAGTTCCGAGTTCAGAGAAAGGAATGAGTCGACAAATTTGATAATTGACTCGTTGTATGGTATCTGTCAAAAGGGATTAAACAATTAGAATTCATTAAAGTGTGATGGCGTAGAATTGAATGAATTATAGCAACTTACTTGGAGCCTTTTATTTCAGTTTATGATTTTGTTTTTTTCCTGGGAAAGGTAAAAAATATGACATTGAACTACACAACATACATAGAAAAAACAACTTAATTGGCCCGAAACACTAACAAAGAAACAACTTAAAACGGGACTGAGGCCGCAAATAAAAAAAGAAACACATAAAATAAAATAAGAAACCCAAGATGTTTCGCAGGGATCACACCTACATTTTCAACCGATAAAACAAGGAAATTAAAAGAAGAACACTATGAGCCTCAACGTTGTTATTGTGAGTCTCACTTAATACAGTCCCACAATAACAACGTTGAGGCTCATAGTGTTCTTCTTTTAATTTCCTTGTTTTGCTGGTTGAAAATGTAGGTGTGATCCCTGTGAAACGTCTTGGGTTTCTTATTTTATTTTATGTGTTTCTTTTTAATATTTGCAGCCTCAGTACTGTTTCAAGTTGTTTCTTTGATAATATACATATGTATGTTGCTCCGATTGCACAATCTGACGCTATGCAATACTTAAATGCCACAGAAGCCTATCTTTCTAAAGGTTATTGAGCAACTGACATCGTGAAATCTCTTTGCCAATGCCCTACTGCATTCCCTTGATGTAACTTAAAAAATTACTCGCTAATTATTTGATCCTTTATTATTAATTCATAAAAAAATCTTGAAGTTTCTACATTTTTTTTCGAAAATTAATTCCTCTCAAATCAGTATAACAGTTAAAGTGATGCCCAAGCACAGATGGTTGTTACTATTGTCTGCTTAAACTGAATAAAATCTTATCTATATGATATATTTTACCTTTTTCAAATTGGCAAAACCTGAAAATATGACTTCTCCATCTTCACTCCTTTTCTGCCAAGAAAAAATATTTTCATCCACACTGTAATCACACAGTTTGCCTTTGTTCTTTCGAGCTAGAATTTCTTTGGATAGCTCAATGTAGGAATTTGCATTGATGCCGGGTAATTCCCTTGTGATATCGGCAGCTGTCACCTAAACAAAAGATTAGGAACTTTTCAGTGTTAAGAAATTAAAAGGACTTCAGGAAATATCTAAATTTGAAAGCTCAGCATTGTTCTCAAAATACTCTATCTTTGCTTATGGCGGAATTTGGATATGCTCAACACACCGAAATTGAGAGGAAAATCATCAAATGTAACAAATAGTATAATTTAGAGAAACTGCGGCAGGAAGCCTACAAAGCCTTGAACCAAGATACTTGTGTATTTCTGCAATTCCACTATCAAATCAGAAAATGTTTAAAATGTAACAAAAGTAGCAGCAGACCAGGGAAGACCACACGGGACCTTTAACTTCCCACCACAATGTTGTTCTCTAATCTAAAAGGATTATCTCTTGCATATCACAAGAAAATTTGCTTGTTCAAATGGTTTAGAATTTAAAACAAACCTAAAGTGCCTAGGGCAAATTCTTGGCACGTTGCTTCATAATAATTGCACCTGTTCCTTCCAAGATGTGCGAATTTACTTCAAGATTGTTTTTCAAGTACAATGAATTTATCAGGCATTAAAAACGTGTATTCGATGGAAATTTATTATGAGAGTGACCGCCTAAAGCAAATTAGCTTTGCTGCCAACCGGTGCCAGAGCAAATCATCTTTGGAGCAGATGTATGTCATTGTGCTGGCGAATACTTACCATGCATTCCCAAGAATCACAATCTTGCAGGATAATTAACTTAAATTCATCTTTCTCCCATTCAGACTTGATCTTCAGACACTTGCCACAGGAAGAAATAAAAGCACAAAAGTAAGTTTCCGGCATGTTCTGGGAAAATCAAATATTTATAAACATGAGCGGTGCATTAGGTCTACAATTTTCTTAAACTAATGATACAGTCGCTGGAAGATGGATCATTTCACCAGCATAAAAAAGTAAACGAGAGGACGTGCAATAATATAATATCAACGATATGACTGGAAAATAATTAATAAAAATTAATTTGTGTTACCGCAAATTCTGAGTAAGAAACGGATACTGATATACTGATAAGCTACGAGCAATTCCAACCTCAAAATGCTCATAGCGTTTGTTTTTGTTTACAAGCTCAGCCATTGGTCCTGTCGCAATTATCGCAATCCAAAACCTCGCTGATTGGTCGTGGTCGGAGTGAAAAACTGGCGGGAAAAGTATGAAATGATCGAAGTAAACCAGCAGTCATGATTTCAATATTAATATATCCAGAGGATTACTTATGTAGGTCTATTCAGGCCCGCCACACCCCATCTCGGGCCCTGGTACCAGTTTCAAGGTCCGGGCCCCAAGCACATCAGGGGGGCACAGAGGGGGGGGGGAGGTCCGAGGGGCATCCCCCGAAAAATTTTAGAGTTTATACGACTAATCGGACGCATTTTGAAGCTTCCACAAAGAATTTTTCCATCAATTTCTGCGGAATAATTATGTTCTTTTTTTATACTTTCAGCACAAAATACTTGCGAATTGTTGCATTCAAAACATCTGGAGATGTTTATTTTTTTTTTGGGGGGGGGGGCTTATGATACTATTTTCAGTTCTAAGAGGGCCAGGCCCCCCTGGACTCCCCCTTCGTTTGTCTATGGCAAGGGAGTTGAGCCATGAGCCATCGAAGTCGAGGATGTCCAGACTGGAGACTCTTAGCATCTGACAACGGAAGAAAATGAAACGCAGTTACTGAAAAAATCCCTTTGTACTGAAAATCTTGAAAATAGATAGAAATTTTCCAAGAAGAATACTTCTTTGAAAATTTAAGAAGAATTCTTCAGTGCCCCAGTGTGTTCCTGAAAATCTATTCACCTTTTGCGAAATTTATAGGGTAAATTTTTCACTTTTTCCTACGAAAGAAGGGTTGCATGTGAATTCGTAGTGGTTTCTCACGGGCAACACGGGACCCCTCCGGAGCCCGGGCCCCGGTACCAGGGACCCAGTATCCCCCCTTGTGGCGGGCCTGCCTTCATACACGCTGGGCCTTTCGATTTCCTTTGACATTTTTGCAGTGGTGAATACATAGCTGAAGTGCGCTACAGCAAGAATTGTATATAGCAAATGGGTAATTTTTATAGGAGGATTATAAATAAACAAGTGGTTAGAAATAAAAACAAAATACTATGAACTATGCAAAACGATTATTCAGATATCGGAACTTGACTGTTTAGAAAACGCTTTAAAATGCGGCGTGATACCTCACGCATTCCGGAGAGTTCAAATAGTTGTATCATTGCGCCGTAAGAATGTGACGGAAGATTTAAATGGAATTAGCCTCCATGCACGCAGGGCGTGACAATTTCCTTTGACATTTTTGCAGTGATGAATGCATAGCTGAAGTGCGCTCCAGCTAGAATTGCATTTAGCAAATGGGTGGTTTTTCTACGAGGATTAAAAATAAACAAGTCGCACGGAATATAACATTAGAATATGAACTATGCAAAACGACTATTCCGATAAGGGATCTTGGCTGTTTTGAAAACGCCTTCAAATGTGGCGTGATACCTCACGCATTCTGGAGAGTTCAAATAGTTGTATCATTGCGCCGTATGAATGTGAAGGAAGATTTAAATGGAAATAGCCTTCATGCAGGCTCGCCACATCCCATCTCGGGCCCTGATACCAGTTTTAAGGTCCAGGTCCCAAGCACAGAGGTAGGGGGGGTCCGAGGGCCATCCCCTGAGAAATTTTAGAGTTTATACGACTAATCGGACGCATTTTGAAGTTTCCATAAAGAATTTTTCCATCAATTTCTGCGGAATAATTATGTTCTTTTTTTATACTTTCAGCACAAAATACGGATATTTGCGGATTGTTCATTCAAAACATCTGGAAAATTTTTATTTTTTTTTTGGGGGGGGGCATATGATACAGTTCTGAGAGGGTCAGGCCCCCCTGGACTCCCCCTTCGTTTGTCTATGGCAAGGGAGTTGAGTCATGAGCCATTGAAGTCGAGGATGCCCAGACTGGAGACTCTTAGCATCTGACAACGGAAGAAAATGAAACGCAGTTACTGAAAAAATCCCTTTGTACTGAAAATCTTGAAAATAGATAGAAATTTTCCAAGAGGTATACTTCTTTGACAATTTAAGAAGAATTCTACAGTGCCCCAGCATGTTTCTGAAAATCTATTCACCTTTTGCGAAATTTTTACGGTAAATTTTTAACTGTTTCCTACGAAAGAAGGGTTGCATGTGAATTCGTAGTGGTTTTTCACGGGTAACACGGGCCCCCTCCGGAGCCCGGGCCCCGGTACCAGGGACCCAGTATCCCCCCTTGTGGCGGGCCTGGGTCTATTATTACCTATTTGTCAAGTAATTTAAATAAATAAGGCATCAATACATACACGAATCAAATTCCGACTGAAGTGGACCATTATTGGATGCCGTGTTTTGAGGATACTGATATGGAACAATCTCTTGTGATTGAAATTGGGCAGCTCATCCACAGTGGATCGTGTCAGTAGGAGGGGTCGGACATTTGGAAACTTTAAGCGATTATAACTTCGTTTAGCTAAACAAAATTTCGAGGTTCTGAAGGTAGTTCCATTGATTTCCTTGTGAAATTTTCTTCCATAAGCACTCATTGAAATTTAAAATGTGACGAATTATACATATTTGCAGTTTTAGACAAAAATTTCATGTCCGACCCTCTTAATTGACTCGATCCATCGTGCGCCGCTATGCAGCCGCCAACTATTGAAATAAAAGCACGTGTAAAAAATTGTAGAGCAATCATGTTCAAGTTATTTAAGAGATGAATGCACTCAAATGCCGACGGGTGCACGCTAAAGAAAGCGTGTTCATCTGTGATTGCAATATTATTCACCACTTTTTGTGTTTCATTTTTAATCAATGTTTCCAAAAAGCTACACAGTTTTCTGAAGTTTCCGAGAATTTTCCAGAATGGTTTCGAGTAAATCAAACTTTCGACGCGATATTTTCGTTTGTTCTAATCCACTTTTTTTTATATATCAGGAAAAAAATTAACATTGTCCAATTTTCTAAATGGACCAATAGACAAGGTACGAATTTAAGCATTCTAATACATGTTATTTGACCAGAATTTCACGTAAAACACGACGCGCACCACGAAAATTACCGAAATCAACTCGTTATGAAGATATTTAATGATTCTTGATGCGTGAATTCAAACCACCCGCTCATGAAAACTCAATGCTCTACGTGACTCACATCGCGCGCTAAACGTTATCATGACAGTCTCTGCGATATAAAAATCTGGCGACCTTAATCTTGACGCTTTAGCTCAGCTATTGCAAGTTGTTTATAGTTTGAACAGCACGTGGTGGGAAATGAACATCGCTTGATTGAGAAGTTTGCTGAAACCGTTCTGGTGCACGATTTGACTCACGTAGAGCTTTGAGTTTCTTGTGAGCGGGCAGTTCAAAATCCGCGTAAGCAATGTGTAATAAAAACGTTAATATCTTCGTTAGGAGTTGGTTTCAGTAATTTTCGTTACGCGAATCGTGTTTTACGCGAAATTCTGCAAAAGAAACATGTATCTGAGTGCTTAAATTCGTACCTTGTCTAGTGGTCCATTGCTGTAATTAAGATACGTATTTTCCCTGTAACTGTCGTAAAAACCGGGTCATTAGCCTAGGATAATGACGCGTTGTCTAGTTTTGTTGCGACTTCAGCGTCGCACGAGCCAGGTAAAGAAATGCGGCGTGGACGAGTCATCTTCGCCGCGTGACGCGCCTTCAATCCGACTAGCGGCAATACGCCTACACTCGTGGTCAAATAGTTATCTCATTACGCCTGCCGTGAATGAATTCAAATATCGACGCCTGCACGCCAAAAAAGCGCATTTTGACAACGATGCATTGTAATACAATACGAGCATCTAAAATGATAGATAGTCGGATCGATATACGCTGTCGAAAAATTCTGACTGAAGTTTTTTCAAGCATGCTAACAATAAGTGTAGTTTATGATTCATAAATACTATATTTGGACTACATTTTGCAACATAGGGACAACAAGCACTGGCTTATTTCAGAAACCGCATAAATGCAATTAGTTTCCGTTTGCGAATAAGTGTTTTTATGCTCGAGAAATTGTATTTCTTGATTGCAGAATCAAGTCCATTCATCAATTTTGACTCGAAAAAACATTTTCGTTTAACCTCTGAAGCTACGGAACCTTAGGCGCGTCTGGACGCCGGCGGAAAATGCTGCTACCGAGTCGAGGGCGAGAAGACGCTCACATTTTAGAGTACGGCACCTTAGGAGCGGAATCCGTGGATTTTTTCCGCTCTGTCCGCCGTCAATTTCTCGAATTTTCGTTGATCAGACAGTATACTCTGGGCCGCGAAAATGGCTGTACGCGCTTTTTTTTAGGAGGGTGTGGATTCGATCGACAAAAATCGACCGAAAAATAAAAACGTGAATCGATCGACACCAATCGATGGACAAATTACTAAAAAACGGGTGTCGATTCGATCGACAAAAAATGTGGATCGATAGACGAGAAATGATTGACAATTAAAAGGAAAACCGGTATCTAGTCAATCGACATGAATCGATCGAAAAACCAAAACGTGAACCAATCGACGTAATTCGATCGATTCACAACTTGGTCGATCGATTCACGGGTTTGTCGATCAACTCACAGGTTTGTCGATCGACTCATAGGTTTGTCGATCGATTCGCAGGTTTGTCGATCGACTCATAGGTTTGTCGATCGATTCACAGGTTTGTCGATAGACTCACAGGTTTGTCGATCTATCCACGGCTTTTGTCGATTGATTCACGGGTGGGTCGGTCGATCCACGGCTCTTGTCGATCGATTCACGGAATTTTCGATCGATTCGCGGCTTTTGTCGATCAATTCACGGCCTTTGTGATCGATTCGTGGGTTTGTCGAACTAAACACATTCAAAAATCGGTAGGAAAGGCAGCGGACTGAGCGGAATTTCTCGGCGTCTTCGCTCCGATCTGTTCGCGACAGATCGGAGCGTCCTCGATCGGCGTTTTCCGCAGCGTCTCTTCGCCGCTAAGGTGCCGTCCCCGCGCAAAAATCAT